GAAAAAAAATCGTTATGAGAGAATAAAGAAAAATAAACAATCTATGATACAAGGTATCTAATGCAATGACACGTAAGTCATTGTACAGATTATAACAACCGTATTTCAAATGGAAACTAAGTAAAATTTGTTGTTGAGTGTCAACGACTAAAACACCCGAATTTCACACATATAATTCAACACAGTAGAATATTTCAGTCGGTGTCAATGAAATTGTATAAAATATTCATTTACGTTGAATTAAAACTCGGTAAGAAAACTTCTGTAATGTCTTTGTTTACATCATAAAAAATTTGTAAATGTTCTGGTCACACCAAAATAGTGAAGAATTCATTCGATTTTAACGATATATTCAATATGATGCTTATCATACTTAGTCTCTAGATCTTCGCAACATTAAATGACTCAAACATGTGACAAAATGCTCTTGATGAAATATTAACAACATCGAAAGATAATAAAAATTGCTTTTTGTGTATTTTTGTTTTGTTGGCTCATTCGTTGTTAATGTACTTTTTTTTTGTTGATCTTTCTTGTTTGTTTCAATTGTATTTTCAGAAGAAACGCAAGAGAATGATGAAATCAGCGTTACGGCAAATATATTTTTTATTCGAGGAACAAACTTTTGTGTTTGTCTGAAGGCATGTGATTAGTTGCTACTTTTGAATACAGAAAGAAAGATTCGTATCCTAAATATCTCTACTAATTTGTACTAATATGTTTTGCAACAAAATTACAAAAAAAGAAAACAAAATAAAACGAGCATCATGTCAGTGAAATTCTGAATGATATTATATTCATTTTGTGAGTCCCGCTTATTTAACTTCATGACGGCATTGGTCACACTCAAAAAAACATCATAAGCATAGCAATACTTGTCTAATACGAGTTCGAATGTAAATTTTATATTCACGTATGGCACCAACATACAATAATAAACTATAAATTCTTTCTCACTTATAATTTTAATAAGTGAGAAAGAATTTATGAATATAGATGCAATTAGACAACTCTTAAATTATTATGCTATCTTATCGATCAAAGTTTGTGTGGCTTTCTGTAGCAAAGAACACTATCGGATTAGAATCATAAATCTGCCATGTCCTTAGATCTAGTTTTCAATAGAATAGAGAATTAATGTATGAAACTGTGCGCGTTTCTTTCTACTTATTTTGTTTTTATTTTTTATTTTGATGAAGTCAAACAAAACTTTTCGTGGGCTACATAGTCTTAGGGATTTTATCAGCTTTGGACATGTCAAATTAGTGTGGGTAGGTATGAGTGTTGCTGTTGAGGGTGTGATTCTTTTCTTAACCAACACCCACACTCACACCCCGAAGAATGCTTATTGAAATACTTCATTCAATTTTTTTTTGAGTTGATAATCGGTGCTTCAATGTTTCATGATTTCCGAATTCGTATTAAGGAACTCGTAATCACTTTAGTAACCAAAGAGGAATAATACATGTCGTTGTGAAATCAAGCAAAATGATAATTATTAATAAGATGCACTATATTTCACAAAGTAAAAAACAGTCGTTGCTTGGATGTTGCTTCAATAAAAATAAAACCTTTTCTTTCTTATTTTGTTTACGTCTATGTTGTTTTGTTTTTCGTTCTTGCCAGTATGAAAGAAAAGACTCAAGTGCTTAAGTAGATGAAAAGCAAACGAAAGTTGGAAAGAATAACAATACAATTAATGATGTTGGTGGGTTTTTTCTCTTTCGTTTGTTGTTGACAACCATATTTTCAACTGAAACTGGGTAGAGTTCGTCCTTGAGTGTCAACAAAAAAAAAACAGTGAACACTTAGTGAATAAATAGAAAAGGTAATAACTATTCAAACAATAATATATTCTTTAAAATATACAAATTACTAACCAAGCAGCAAAAATGGCATCAAAACTGGCTCAATATCAAAGGCATCGTATGGCTGAAAATTATTTGGTCATATGGGTCGATGGAAATATCGACATGGCAAATCAAGATTGCCAAAATACCATGGAACAATTACGTGCTGTCGTCAATCAAGTTAATCCATGTGAGACAGCTGAACAATGCATACAACAGCTTATGGACAATCAAGAGGAGATCTCATTTGTTATCTCCTCAGGTGCACTTGGAGAACATTTAGTGCCGGACATTCATGATATGGCAAAATTAAATGCCATTTTCATATTTTGTGGCAATAAACAACGGCATCAAGTATGGGCACAAAATTGGCCGAAAATTAAAGGTGTTCACACCTCAATCAAACATATCTGTGACAAATTGGCCACGGCTATCAAACAATACAATCAAGATCACATGTCGGTAAGCATTGTTAGTGTGAATGCAGGAGGTTCTAGCAAGAATCTAGATCAGCTAGAACCTTCTTTTATGTATTCACAAATATTCAAGGAAATACTCCTTGAAATCAAACATGAACAACAAGCTGTCCAAGATTTGGTCACCTACTGTCAACAAGAATACCAAGGCAATAAAAAGGAAATCAAAATTATCCAAGAATTTCAACGTACTTATCAAGCATCCGACGCCATTTGGTGGTATACACGCCAATGCTTCACATACAAAATGTTGAATGGCGCATTAAGAACACTGAACGGCGACATTATGATACGAATGGGTTTTTTCCTGTGTGATGTACATCGACAAATCGAAACCTTGTACAAAAATCAGGTCAGTCAATACCATAACAAGATTTTTACAATCTTTCGAGGGCAAGGCCTATCGAAAGTAGATTTTCAAAAGCTCGCAGAAAACAAAGGTGGGCTTATTTCTTTTAACAACTTTTTATCTACCAGCACAAATTCAGATGTCTCCCTTGTTTTCGCCAAAGAAGCCTTGAAAATGACCGATATGGTTGGAATTCTATTCCAAATAACCATTGATCCTACAGTATCATCAGCTTCATTCGCCTCCATCCAGGAGGTGAGCTATTATAAGAAAGAAGAAGAAATTCTCTTCACCATGCACACGGTGTTTCGCATTGGTGAAGTGCGAAAAATTGACAACAATCGTGCCCTTTATCAAGTCGATCTTAAACTTACGTCAGATGATGATCCACAACTTCGTGAATTAACTGACTTTATACGAAAAGAGGTCAGCGGCACTGGATGGCGTCGAATGGGGCAATTGTTATTCAAAATAGGTCAATTCGACAAGGCCGAAGAACTATATATGACACTACTAGAACAGGCATCGGATGATAGTGATAGAGCATACATCAATCACCAGCTTGGAATGATGAAACAAAACCAAGGACAATACGAAGAAGCAGTTGCATTTTACGAAAAATCTCTGCAAATCAAGCAGAAAACTCTTCCGAAAGATGATCCTTCATTAGCTCCTACGTACAATAATATTGCTCTAGTGTATAACGACATGGGTGACTACTCGAAAGCAGTTGCATTTTACGAACAATCTCTGAAAATCAAGCAAAAAAATCTTCCGAAAGATGATCCTTCATTAGCTACTATATACAATAATATTGCTCTAGTCTATAATAACATGGGTGACTACTCGAAAGCACTTGAATTTTACGAAAAAGATCTAGAAATCACAAAAAAAGCTCTGCCTTCGAATCATCCTAATTTGGCTACTTCATACAACAACATTGGTGCAGTGTATAATAACATGGGTGACTACTCGAAAGCACTTGAGTTTTACGAAAAATCACATAAAATCTACGAAAAAGCTCTGCCTTCGAATCATCCCTCATTGGCTACTTCATACAGCAACATCGGTCAAGTGTATAATAACATGGGTGACTACTCGAAAGCACTTGAATTTTACGAAAAA